CGATCTCATACTCGAAGAAGTGGTTGAAAGCCGCCCAACATGAGACCCGAGACGGCTCCAAGACGGCCACGAGGAGGGCCAAACTGAGAGGGCCCAAAGACGGCGACGAGACGCCCCCAGGATTAGATCGGGCATGTCCCCTTACACGCAGATTTTGGACGACAAATTTTAAATACTCCAACCATACCCCCCAATAGTCAACAAATACTCTAAAAATAGGCCCCACACGATGTTTTGTCTATTTCTTACGATTCCTCCTGCAGAGGGACAGACCCGACTTAAGACTAAGAGGGCCCCCAAGACGGCGACGAGAAGACGCCCCCAGGTCTGCCCCGCCCCAGGACGGCCCCAGTGGGGGGGGACCACAGGCGGCCTCAGACAGCTCCAAACACACCTCCCTAGGGTTAGGTCGTGCATGTGCTCCTACAGGGGGAACGAAAAATCAAAAATACTCAAAACATGCTCACAAATAGTCAACAAAATCTTCAACAAATCGTCCCCATACTATTTCTTGTGACTATATTTGAATGTTCCCCCTGTAGAGGCACGTGCCCGACTTAACCTCATGGGCGGGCGAACCCAGAACTCCGACGTAGCAGTTGCTTCACAGCCGGAACCTCCAGAGATCTGGACCCTTGTGAGCGTTTTTTCTTATTCGGCGTTTCGACCTTGGGCGGAAAGGGGGGGGGGTCCTGGCTCCAGGCCTCTGCTTAGTGCGGCTGTTGGGAACCGTGCTCCCTCCGGGGGAGACTCCACCCGCAAACCGGCGCCAAAAAAACAGCCAGGATCTACTCCACGGGGGGGGGGGGGTACGAGGGCCCGCGCCGATTGGCAGAGCAATGGACAAAAAAAGGCCCACCATTCCCTATCAGAACCACAGCTTGACTGTCCCTGGCCCGGTGAGGGCCACCAGAAGCCGAAAATCCAGAGAGCCCTTCCGTCGCGACTGTTGCCCGCCACGCGGGGAGGGGAGGGGGGGGGGGGGCGCGCAGCGCGGCAAAGAGCCCCGAACGGACGGCCAAGGCAGCCCAGGACACCCCGGAGTCGGCAGCGACAGCCGCGGGCACGACTCGTCACTGTTCGCCTGGGGGCCTCTCCAGAGGCACAGGCCATCGGCGCCTCCGCGCACACGCCAGTCGGGGAAAGTTCGTAAAAGCATGAAGTAGGAAGGCGGATCAAGTGGATTGGGCCCAGGCCCTCCTTCCCAGAGAATGACAAAACACAGCAAAAACATGGCCGATTCTTGCGAAATGTGAACGCACAGAGACATACTAATACTATATGGCCTCCTTGGAGGCGCGCGTCCGACCAGAACATATAGTATACCCATCTTGTAGTATATCGTCTTCCGAGCGGCGTGGCCAAAAAGCGCCCGCCACGACGCATATACTATAAGATTTCTCGGTGCGCGCGTCGCCCCTGGGGGGGCGACGCACATATAGTACAAGCATGTTGCGGTGACGCCGATATTGGAATCTGGGAGTCCACAAATATTTACTGTCAACGACCGATGGATACACGTGTTGCTCTCCCCTGGGGTCTGCCCGGGGCGTGCCCCTGGCCATCATCCAACTGATCATTTGGTCTTGGCCCCGCTGGCCGGCTTACCCTTAGGTCGGGCATGTCCTCCTCTACGGGCGGACCTTGGACGAATAATTGAAATAGTAAGACAACTATTCAAACATAGTTATAAACAATACACTGTTATTGTTGTGACTAGCTTGGGATATTCCTCCTGTAGAGGGACGTGCTCGACTTAAGCATACCCCCTAGGAAATGATGGTCCCCATGCGATTGTTCGACTATGTTTGAATATTCCTCCTGTGCAGGGACGTGCCCGACTTCAGCTTACCCTCGAACAAACGATCCAGAAAAACATCGTCCCCAGACTATTCTTGACGGTGTTTGTATGCCTCCTCCTGTAGGGGGCCGTGCCCGACTTTGGCTTACCCCCCCCCCCCCTCCCCAGGTGGGCATGCGTGCGGCACCCTTCCGGCTCCGCGGGGGGGCCGCTCTCTGCCTCCGGGAGGTCCCGCCGGCGGGGGCTATGGGATGCGCTGGCCTGCCGGGGAGATGGGGATCGCTTATAGTCGATGGCGGCTCCCCTCGGCCCAGCGAGCTCACGAGATGGGCACCCCGCCCCGGGCTCTGGCCCGCGAGCTCCGCCCGCCCCGCTTGGCCAAGTGGCCGTCGCACTGCCACCGATATCTAGACTTGGGCCGCGGGGTCCCGCGCCCGCCCTGCGCGCTGCGGCGACGCGGGTCGGGGGGCACACACCGCTCCGCGCGGACGGCAGCGGCGGCGGCAGGACGAGAGAATGAAGGGGCCCTGGGACACGCAAATAAGTACACACAAATAACAGGATTCCCCATATTGTCCCATATTTTCTGGGTCTTTCTCTTCCCCCACACTTCCCATAGTTTCCCATATTCTCTGTGGAATCGACGATTAATTGTGCCTGTGTGTTTCTTTGCCTCCTAAGGGAAGCAGACCGGCAGGATGGGGATGGGTTGGACGAGGCTCAGTTCCTGGCCCCACCCCTCCCTTCCGTTCTTGCCACATCTTGCCCTCGGCCCTGTGAGGGGCAACGATGGGGGGGGGACTTGCAGAAGGGGCGACACCTCGACTGGCCATCGGCGATACATCGCCGATAGATCGACGATAGGCCCCCGATGGCGAATTCGCACGCCCCCGGAGGGCTACCGGGTCCCCATCGGCGATCAATGGGCGATTTGGGGTCGATGCATCCCTCCCTATGCCTATCCCCGTTCCTGGTGGTCTTCTGGTCACAACTCGGCTCTCCGGCGGCCGTTCGGGACGATCCGTGCGCCCCCGGAACGCCCTCGGCGAGGCGCAGCTGCTGGAGAGCATCCCGAGGCCAAAAGGCCGCCGAAATCTGACGAGCACGCCCGAAAACCACCCTCCATTAAATTCAAAACGGGGTAGAAATAGGATCCGCCTTAAATAGGATGGTCCGACGCGGATCCCGAAAATCAGAAATGGGATCCGCGCGCACGGAAATGGGATCCGCCGCGATTTCACGATTACGGTAACGTGGGAAATCGGATCCGTGCGACCCTCATTGGGTTCGCCGCTATGATTCCAGAGGGCCCGTGCACCGCGTGGGACCGTGAGGTTCAGAGCCAAGAGGAAAAAACTTGCGGCCTGGGGATGTATGCCCCCCCCTGTCGTTGCCCTCGACCCTCGGGGGTCGAGCAGGGAGGTCTTCGGACGTGCGTTTGGCCCTTTGGCCGGGCCTCGAACTGGAGCCCTCCGGAGGCCTCTGGGAGAGGCCCCTGGGAGCGGACCTCTGGCCAGGTCGGGATACACTGGGCGGCAGCAGGTTTACGGGTGCACCCCCTCTGCTTCTTCCTCCTCCGCCTCCTCCTTCTCCTCCTCCTCATCATCCTCCTCCTCATCCTCATCCTCATCCTCATCTTCATCCTCCTCTTCATCCTCCTCCTCCTCATCCTCCTCCTCATCCTCATCCTCATCCTCATCCTCATCCTCATCCTCATCCTCATCCTCATCCTCATCATCATCATCATCATCATCATCATCATCATCATCATCATCATCAGCAGCAGCAGCAGCATCAGCATCAGCATCAGCATCAGCATCAGCAGCATCATCAGCATCATCATCAGCATCATCATCACCTGTTTCCTTTCCTCTCAGGCCTCATCCTCTGCTTCCTCCTCCTCCTCCTTCTCATCCGCATGTGCTCCCCCTTATCTCAGGCATCATCCTCTGCCTCCTCCTTCTCCTTCTCCTCCTCCTCCTCCTCCTCTGCTTCCTTCTCTCTCAGGCCTCGTCCTCTGCCTTCTCCTCCCCCTCCTCCTCCTCCTCCTCCTCCTCCTCCTCCTCCTCCTCCTCCTCCTCCTCCTCCTCTGCTTCCTTCTGTCCCAGGCCTCGTCCTCTGTCTCCTCCTCCTCCTCGTCTGCTTCCCCTTCTCTCAGGCCTCATCCTCTGCCTCCTCCTCCTCCTCCTCTTCCTCCTCGTCGTCTTTCATAGGCTGCACGCAAGAATGACCTTCGGCAGCAGTGACCTCTGGTGCGCGGCCGCGCAAGCCGCTGATACTGCGTCGCATTCAGCGATCGGGGGGGGCATTGGGCCAGCACCAGAGGTCACTCCGGCCAAAGGTCACTCCTACGTGTAGCCATAGGTCGGGCATGTCCCCTGCAGGCGGATTGTGGACAAACCAAGAAAACAAGTATGCAGAAATACAAAAACATATTTTGACAAAAATCGTCCCCAGACTATGTTATGACTCTTTTTTGAATCTTCCTTCTGTAGAGGGACACGCCCGACTTCAGCGCAACCGATCGAAATGCCGCACCGCCCTCCCAACACGCGCAAACCGGCATGAAACAGTGGAGGAGCGTCTGTCTGTGCTCACATGCCCACGGCACCGCGATATGTTTGCTCCTGCCGCGATGACGTGCAGATAGCGAAGGATCCCCAAACTGAGATACAATGAGATCACATCGTGACGACGTCGGTGAGGATCTCTGACACGTGTGGATCGCTCAAGCTTGGAAGATCGCAACTCTCTGACAGCACGGACCGTTCGGCCAGGAAGGCTCGCGCCAGGGTCGCCGCCATGCCGACCACGACACGAACATACAGTACGACCCTGGTGAGCGTCAACTCTGCCTCGTTTCGGTTCCAGATTCGTCAGCCAGGGCGCAACTGAAAAAAACGCACTGCGAAAAGCTCTGCCGTGGTTGCGTGATGGGTGTTGTAGGCATCCCGGAGGCACCTCCGCATGATGTATGGTGACTCCTCTGCGGCTGGAGAATGGGGTGCAAATTCTGGAAACGTGTTTTTTTTGTTCGGGGAGTTGCTTAACGAATGCTATCTGAATGCTCCACGGGCCTATCTCTACGACAAGCCCGCATACCATGACAGGACTGCATGGCGATGCTCAAAATTGTACGCGGGTTCGCTGGAAAACCGGGGTCGCAACTGACTGTGCGATCCATGCTTTCGCGTGCGATTCACAATTTCAAATGGGCATGGGCATGGAAGTGCTTGTCAAGCTCGAGCGCCAACGTCGCCGAAAAAGCATCTCTTGCCGTGCATGGGATGCTTTTGGTCGGGAGGGGGGCCACTGCTGTTCCGCTCTCCGCATAGGTCCATGTCAACTGCACGTTCGTGGGGAAGCGACGGTGCATCAAGAAAGGTAGGTCCATGTACACCTTGTGTAGACTCGCTCCGCCTGCACGGTCCTGCTTCGCAAACCATTCCGCCCACCTCATGTGGAACCGCATCGCCGTGCAGTACAGAAAGAAGCGACTCGGGCAGGAGACGTCAGGGAACTTGAGAATTTCGCCTAGCCCTGCTTCAGACGAGAAACTTGTGGCTGCCTGGCCATTAGTCGTCATCAGAATACCCGCCCGCAAATCATGCATGTCTCTTTTGCCATAGTCTGCCATCGGGATGCCGTGTACATCCTTCACCCACTCCATTGAGTAGCCGTAATGGACTGTGGCCATGTCAGGAGCTATGGACCTGGCAAGGCGGTGGAATGCGGCTGCGTCGTCGGAGTAATCCATTAAGTTTGACCAGCTCACGCTATTCGGGCGCAGTGCTGCTATGTCCTTTATCTGATCCTCCTTTGATGGGTGCACCTCTGCTCTGATCAGCTTGATGTTCAGACATTTTCGAATCAACATGTTTCTGACGCGACCCAAACCGCGGACGACACGGGCAGCGAAGACGTCGCACACGCCACGCCCAGAATGCAGTTCCGTGAGGATGTCGTCCAAGCTGGTGACAGCGAATATGGAATCTGCATTCAACAATGCAGGGCACCATGGTGGTACACTCCACATGCAGATGCTGCCAACCTCTGGCGAGTCCCTCTGGTCTGGCGGAAAAGTTTCGCCAGTCAGGAAGTAGTGACGGGCGCTACGTACGTCGACCAGGCGAGCAAAATTTGCGATGTTGCAAGCGTCCCAGCGACGCTCTTCACTCCTGAACATTGCGAGCCACTGGATGCGGGCTTCCTCGAGGGGAAGCGGTTCAACAGACTGCCAATGCAGAAGCAACTGCAACACGTCTGCACATACATCGGGAAGGCGCGTGCTGCGCTCGACCGCAAGGCGGAATGACGCGAGCGCCCCGCAAGTCCAAGTCGACGAATACCACACCTGATAAACATGAGCCAGGGGCGTCTGCGAATCGTGGAGCATTTCTACGATGACGGTGCACTTCGCTATGCAGCAGAAACTCAGGTCCACGCCGACATACACAATGGGGCCATCCTTGCCCGAACCGCTTTCTAAGATGTTGGCCTTCAGCAGGATGCTCAAGTCGTTGCAGCCAACTGCCACATGGATAGATCCAGGTTCCAGGTCCACGGTCTCGGATGGTGAGTTGCTGAAGTTGGTGCGGAACGTGTGAAAACCTTCCGAAGTACGCTTACGGATCCTGCTGTCTGCCTTCCAATCAACCACGTCGCCAATGGCCGTCCCACAAAGGCCGTGCAACTTGATCCATTCTTCTGTGCCGTGGCTGTGCTGCCTGGAGACGGTCCTCTGCCACCTGAGGACCGTTGCAGCCAGAAATCCGTCCTGCAAGAACTTTTCCGCGAAGTCCCGGGCCTCTGGACCGAAGCCGCATGGCCACGTCGACGTGTGAAATACATGCTTGACGCTCTCCGCGTCGGGAAATGCGAGAGAGAGCTGCGGAAAGACTTGCGACATCCGAGTCGTCTCAAGAGAGGCGAGGTGCTCCAAATTAGCGGATTGCAGCGCCAACTCCTTTCGCGAGCCTTCAACACGTACCACCCAACGACCTGTGCTCGGGACAAATCGGAGCACCTGCCCAAGCATGCCATTCAACTCTGGACGCTTCGTGAGCTGAGACACTCTGACCAGGCCACCGACTGGAAACGGATCCATTCCCAGCCCAGTCCTGATCCAGGACGAGGCCCTGGCTGGAATGCGCGAGTCAATAGAAGAGCAAAAATGCATAAACATAAACTTTTGGCGCTCCGCGCAGATTTCTTGGATATGCGCCGGAGCGCCCTGCCTGACGAGCGGAGCGCGCCAGGGGCGGCGCCAGAGGCGCCGCCGGGGGGGCGCGGCGCGGATCCAAGAGATCCGCGCGGAGCGCCGAAAGTTTATGTTTATGGCGTTGTCTCTTCTTCGACCAATCCTAATCCAGGACGAGGCCCGAGCGGGAATGCGCGAGCCAAGGCAGCCTGAGCCAGAAAGCTGTGGTGCAGCCCACGGCGCTGCACTGCTGGCTGGCGCTGGCTCCGCCGGAGGTGCTGCTGCCGCCCGGCGGCTAGGTGGAACCCAAGAGAAGGGCGACGCCCCTGCTGGGCTTGTTTTCCATTACCACCACCATAAGTAGGAGGGGGGAGGGGGTCCTCCTCCTCCTCCTCCTTCCTCCTCTCCTCCTCCGCCTCCTCCTCCTCCTCTCCTCCTCCTCCCCCTCCTCCTCCTCCCTCCTCCTCCTCCTCCTCCTCCTCCTCCTCCTCCTCCTCCTCCTCCTCCTCCTCCTCCTCCTCCTCCTCCCCCTCTTCCTCCTCCTCCTCTCCACCTCCTTCCCTTCCCCTCTAACTGATTGTGGTAGTCGAAAACAGGCTTATCATGCTTGACGTACTCTCTGATGCGGGGAGCTTCACGAATGAAGAAGAGCTGGGCACAGGGGGTCCTGGTACTCGGTACTAAGACAACGCAGTAGGCGCCTACACATACCCCCGATACGTCATGATTTGCTCATGGCGTCAACCCTCAGACGTCTTGACCCGTTCCCCACGACCGAGTTTTCATCCCGAGTCGGATTTTGAAGGTCCCAATGGCCAGTGAGGGCCTCCAGGGGCCGAAAATAGCGAAAAGCCGACCGTCGTGATTTTGTCATGGCCCGAGGGGGTCGGGGTACGAAGTTTCAGGGCACGCTTGCCGTCGATCTTGGAGGGTCCCAGGGTGCCCAAGCGCTCCGGTGGGTCCCTCGGGCCATCGGGGGACAGAAGACTTTCGCGGGGCACCTGCTGGCATGCCGGTTTCTTGCGTGACGTGCCGTCGGTCAGTTCGCGCGGCGTCGACCCGTGCAAAGGTTGTTAACACCGCGTCGACCGTTCAACCTTGAATCGGTCGCGGCAAGGGTCGTGCAAGGTTGGCTTCCGTCGGGTCCAGTGGCGTCACCGTGCCCCTGGGTGCCTCCACGTCGCAGAGTTCAACTTTGAACGCATTCGCGTGCGTCGCAGGCGCGCCAACGCCGCATGAACCTACCGTGTATAAGGTGCGCCAGGCTGTAAAGACTTGTTCTGCCAACAACGGGTTCGGGCGCATCAACTTATCCGAAACAGCTTTGTCGACGAAGAAGATGGCACACCCACCCGGCCGATCAGATGCAGGGCGGCGCGGATGATGACCTGTCCGATGTGAGAAGTATATGGGCGTTTCGCAGCCTCATTCGACGACAACGGGCCTGCCAGCACATGTGCCCCCGTGATATGATTGGCTCAAGCCGGGGGTTCCAAATCACAGGCCGAACGCTGTTCTGGAAATCGCGGTACTCATACGACAGCGTCTACCCCGAACAATGACTATGTGTAACATGTGGGGTGAAACCGATGTGGCCCCATCTGACTGGTGCAACCTACTCAAAAAAAAACGCAGCGAGAGGTCATCAACCCCATTGCTCGCGCAATCATCCCCCCCCCCTACGCGCAACTTGGTTTGCAAAACCCATCTGGCGGCAACCGTGATGCCTGCCTGGAGTTGGCTGGCGCCTCGTTGCGGCCGCGCTAGCGCGCGCAGGCTCGCGCACAGAGCGGCCAGCTAGTCTGGCGCGACCGACGCGGCGGCGGTGGCCTGTTTCGGGACACTGGATTCTGGAATCCTTCCAAAGCCGACGGTTTTCGAAAGATGTCGGCATGTAGGCGCGACGACGCGCGCGTGTGCACTTCGTTCCTTCTGTTGCAAGGGATTTTTGGAAACTGATGACTTGTGATAAACGGGTGTTCGCGCATAGCTCTTTCACAACAGATGGCGAGGGGGGGTCGAACATGGCCTGGGTGGGAGCATGTGACTTCACATGTACAATACATTATGGGGCTGGCTTCCATCTATATCTTGCAAATCCCCAATGGCGGGGAAACAAAAAACGGGGCCAGTAAAAGCTCGAGTCAGGTTCAATTGAAACCTGACTGATGCTGGACTTCATTTTAGTAGCATCCAGGTCGGGATCGGTCAAAGTCTAAAACCAAAAAATACGCACCATAGCTGAACCCAGCGCTCATCAAATCTTACAACGACTCGATCCAGCTTCAATGGACTCCTACGATAGCTGGATCAAACGTTCTACTGGTGTCCTAGTCAGACTGGACCCTACACTGATACATCTTACCCTAGCTGGATCCAGCTCTACTTGAATCCTACGATAACTGGACCTAACTGTACTAGCAATTTAATCAGACTCGATTCACATCGACTAGAATCCCACTGCAACTGGATATAGCTCTACATGATCCCTACCCAGCCTTCACAGCAGCCCACGATGGATCGATCGCCGTCGTCGTCGATGTCGTCATGGTCTCGTCGTCGTTGTCGTTTTCGCAGTCATCGTCGTCGTCGTCGTCGTCGTCGTCGTCGTCGATGTCGTCGTCGTCGGCATCGCGCATCACCGTCACCGGCGTCGTCGTCGGCGTCGTCATCGTCGTCGCCGACGTTTGCCATTTGCCATTTGCGAAGGGTGAGGGGGGGGGGCCATTCGACCACTCCCCGTGCAATTCTCACGGGAGAGCGGGGCTGGGCCCCCCCGATTCGAACCCCCCCCCTCCTGAGCCCCGCCCCCCCCCCCCCCCGGTTTGACCGCCTGGAATATCAGGCCCCCCTCCCCCCGTTCGAACCCTCCTTCCCCGGCGTCCGCAAAACACGCTCTTTCACACCTCGGATGCTCGTGCAGGAATACCGCCCGCACACCCGCAACGTGCTGGCTAAACAGAACTGGGAGGAGACAACGACAATGACAGTGACGATGAGGATGTTCATGGCGACGGCGGGCGCTCTGACGATGTCGTCGACGACGACAACGACGACGACGACGACGACGACGACGGTGGCGATGATGAAGCTGGCTGTTTCCATTTTGACGGTCGCAACGATGACTCTGGCAAGGGTGACGGCGATTGCGCTGGCGAGCGCGGTAAAGAAGTGCGCGTGCAGAAATCTGCAAAGGGTGACGACGTGAACGAAGGCAGCGGTGGTGACGCTGACGCACATGGTGCTGACAGTGGTGATGGGGGCCGCGCGGCGTCGACGGAGACGATGGTGATTGCGACGACGCTGATGGAAATGGTATTAACGGTGGCAACGATAACGCTGGGCATGGCGACGGCAATGGTGGTGGCGCTGAAAAAGTGTCCTCTCGCAAAGAACTAACAGGGCTGACGACTTCGACGATGGCGATGATGACGGCGGCGGCGGTGATGACGAGGATGGCGATGAGGATGGCGGCGGCGGTGCCGATGACGACGTTGCGTTGGTAATGATGGCACTGACGATTCTGCAAACTATTGCGCTGACGAGGGTGATGGAGAAATCTGCGCCGAAAAGATGTCGACGCGCGCGCGTGGAGACCCGCGCGCATGGCCCGCGTGTTACCATGTAATAGAGGGTTGGGGGCCGCGCGGTGGCCCTTGGACACCTTGGCAATGCGGGCGCGCGTGGCTCGCGTGATCTTCTTCGGCAGATTTGCCGCGCACATGTGGCTGCACGTTCACTTCAACGGGCGCACGCGCGCACCAGTCTGGCAACCTGTTGCGGAAGGCGCATGGTGAATGGTAGTTCCAGGGGAGCTGGAATTCGAACATGTGCCAACATACGCGTTTGAGTAGGTAACGCGCGCGCACGGAGGCGCGCGAATGCGCCCTTCATCGCATTCTTCCGCATCGGAACCTGGACGAACGCACTTGTTAGACCAATGCGTGGGCACTGCGTGAAATTATTTGACCAGGATGCTGGAACTGGCTGAGGTGCTGCTGTTCGATAGTGGGGACGAGCGCGCGCGCAGAATAGGCGCCGCAAGCCTATGCGCGGAAGGAAGCAGACAACTGCGGCCCCGGCCAGAAGGGCATACGCGATTCCTTCCAATAACAGGGCCTCACTCGGGACAACCAGAATGGCCAAACCCAACGCCCGAACCACCACCCCAGTTATCCACCCGCAGCTTGTTCGCAAAACTGGGGGAGGGGGAGGGGCGTGAGCGACTCATCGGAACTAACTTGCAAGCCCCAACAAGCGCAATGACAAGTGCGTTGACATGCCCTCGCGGCGACGCGCGCATCTGCTTCGCATCGCATTGTTTGCCAAGTGTTGCCATGCCCAAACACGGGTGAAATGGCACCGTGTGAAAACAATTATTTTGTTTGACTCGGGGTAAGGGGGGGGCCATTGCTGGGACGGGCGAAAACGCTACCATGTGTAAATTTGTTTGGACGACCGTACAGAATGCAAATGGAAACTGAGAATGCGGAGAACGAGGCCGACGGCATCGACGGTGACGATGACGACGTCAGCGCTGATGATGACGACAATGGTGCTGATGATAGTGCTGCCTATGGCGCGAACGACGCTGACGACGGTGACAGCGATAGCGATGATGAGGATGACGAGGGAGTACACGCCCGCAGAAGTTCTGGCAACCTGACGTGGGTGTCATTGAAAACTGCTAGGTTCTCGCATGGTGATGAACACCTCTGTGCTGACACGGTTAGAACACCAATGATTCTGCAACGATTTCGGCGAACGCGCGCGGCGAACGCGCGCACGTGGCCCGCGTGATACAATGCGGCAGAAGCGGCGGGCGCACGATGGTGACTGAACGTTCCGTACATGCGCGCGCAATAGAACCGCATGGTCTGTTTTAGCATAATGCCTAAACCATGTATGGCTTTCTGGAGATTCCAGAGAAGGCGCGCGCGCA